AAATTTAAAAAGTCAACAAATTAATAAAAAAATTAAAATTAATAACAAAATCATTATTTTAATAAAATAAAATAAAAACAAATTAAAAAAAATTGGCTCAAATGAAATCAAAAAAGTTAAAAATTAATAATTATACATTTTTTTAATAAAAAGGAAAAAAAATTAATAAAAACTTATTTGGTATAATATCTTAAAATAACAAAACCATTATGTTAACATGAACAAAAAAATAATTAATAAAAAGAAATTAAAATTAATAACAAAGCCTTAAAATTGTTTTAAAATGAAAAAAATAAATTAATAAAAAAATGGCGTCTACAAATTAATAACAAAACCATTATTTTAATAAAATGAAAAAAACAAATTAAGAAAAAAAATTCAGCTAAAATGAAATAAAAAAAGTTAAAAATTAATAATTATACATCTTCTTTAATAAAAAGGAAAAAAAAAAATTAATAAAAACTTGTTTGGTATAAAAATTAATAACAAAGCCAATATGTTAATAACATGAACCAAAAAAAAAACAATTAATAAAAAGAAATTAAAATTAATAACAAAGCCAAAATTTCAATAAAATGAAAAAAATAAATTAATGAAAAAAATGTCGTCTACAAATTAATAAAAAAATTAAAATTAATAACAAATCTATCCATGGCCAACATTTTTTTTTAATAAAAGGTTAATGAACATCATAAACTGAATGAATATCATAAACTACAAGTTTTGCATGCATCATTCAACCATCAAATTGAATAAAGTGTTTGACCCTGCATATTATACATTGCATCAACAACATATTTAAGTGTCTTCATTCACGTAATAACATTTTGTTGATTGACCATGTGATGATCTTTGTGTTCCATTTCCTTTAATTGCCATTTAGCCCAATCGTCGTCCTCATTGTTAGTTATCCTACAAAAAGAGGAAAAAAGTCATTAAATTCACAGTTATGTAAAGTGGGCGAAGTTATGTAATAAAGGTGTCATAATGATTGAAACTAGTAAAATAATTATTCATTTAAAACCATTAGTCACTACGATATTCACTTGCATTGTTCACATCACAAATCTATCCATGGCCAACATGATTTTGCCACATAGCAGTAGCAATTGCATCCCTAAAGTTAGATTGCTACGTTAATCCATGTTGTGACATGTCAACATAGTCAGCTTGGTCTCCAACAAACCCATCTACTTCTGCTTCTGCCGCCATTTCATTATCAGCTTCCATGAAGAATGGGTCCATATCTGCATGCAAACGGATCCAATTGTGCAGTACACAACATGTAATCATGAGAGGGCCTTGTCTTGTAGACTTGTAATTTAGCATGGACCGCAATATTGGGAATCGTTTCTTCAGAACACCAAATGTTCTTTCTGTGACATTGCGTAACGACGAATGTCGATGGTTAAACAATTCCTTGGGTCCTGAATAATGACGGCCATGAAACTCTTACAAGTGATAGCGTTGGGAATGAAATAGGGCAAGAAATCCAGGCATGTTCGTGAAACTTGCATCCACTAAATAATACTTGCCTACATGTAAACAATAAATGCACTGTTCTGTCAAACAAATGTACAAAAAAATAATTTCAAAAAGTGTACCGTATGTTATTTCGTAACACTCACCATTGGGTGGGTGTGGGAACTGTAGATCAACTCTTGTAATAGAGTCAACTAAAATAGCGTTGTCTTTAGCGCTACCTTCCCATCCAGAATTAATAAATGTGAACAACATGTCGAAGTCGCAAGCTGCGAGTACATTTTGCGATACCGTAGATTTGCGACCGCGAAATATATTTTGTCTTGAAGCAGGGACCCATGCATCCACCAATGTGCCATCGATAGCACTGATACAATCCTAATTGAAAGATATTTGTTTGACATTAAAAGCGAAACAAACTTGGATATTACTTTTATAACAGAAGAAAAAAAAAAATTCATCCCTTATTGTTATTAAAAACTTACAGGACAATCATTAAATTCATACCTTGAACCAGGAGAAAAACCTCCTGTCATTTAAAATTTTTGTCGGTATCTCGTCTTGGTTACGTGGTTTGATAACCGTTGATGCAAGCTTGTACAATGCCCGCATAACAATTTTGATGTGCCGACAAATTATTTCCGTGGAGTGTTGAAATCTATCTGCCAGTAGTCAATGGCGATCATTTTGTGCGAAAGTGTATAAAAAAATTCCAAGCGATTCCTCAACACTGATATGCATATGTTCAATATCGATAAAGCCATTTTGAAGTAAGGTGTCTTTCAATAAAATGAATGTTTGTGCATCCATTCGCATAATGTCCATCATTGTTTCTGGATGGCCATTTAATAAGCTGAAGATATAATCATCACCTTTGAATGGACAAGTTCGCTGCGGTCGCCGACTACTTGACGTGTTGATATGTCACGCATGAAAGCAATTATAAAAAAATTCATAAAATCTTCAATAACCTTATCCTCCCCTGATAAGATCTCCATTGCATTGTTTTCTGTGTCGGATGACATATTGTTTCGTCTACATCATAGTAAAAGCATAATTATAAAATAGTGTTTGACAACATCATCATGCTTACCATTATTGGTGAAACTGAATTAAAAAGTGGCTACATAAATAGTCGGCCTTAGTCATTTACCAGCATACACTAAAATATATAAGAGAAGAAAATTTGTTTAATATGTAGTCATCTTGTAATAACACAACATATTGATGTAAAACAGAAACTACTTAAAAGTTCAATAAAAATAAACATACGAAGATGGAAAAAAGAGAGCATCTCATGGGATGAAAAAAATGATAAAAAACAAATCAGGAATCATCAAATCATCTTGTAGAATAACAAGGAGAATCGCTAACTCAATCAAAACACAACTTCTCACTTCACTGCAAAGTTAGGATCATAGCTAGGCGTATATGGGGAGGAGTACGCATAAAAAACCTTTGTCATTCCTTGTCTTTAAACAGCGTCAGTGCCCTAACGTCCTGCACCAGTGGTATGTCCCCAAGCTCTAGCAATGTCTTTTGACATGTATCAAGGGAATACTCATCACCACCTGCACTTATAGCCTCTGTGTCATTTGATCCTACACGTGAATGTTCTATTTTTGCCTATACGTAGGATGTGAAAGTTGCGCACACATCATCGAACCCACTTGATCGTGACTTTTTGGAACGACCACTGTCAATCTGGCTACTTGTAGGGCCTCTCTTGTGACTTTTGCCTTTCGCTGGATCCATGTACTCATCGCCAAATAAGTCAACAGGAATGGTTTCAGCGGCATCACTCCCACCAACTTCAGGGTTCCAAAATTTATTTAGCATTTCATCTTCTTCATCTGAGTCAAGGGCTCTTTGTGTGGATGCACCAGACAAGGCCCCTGTGGCACAACAATTTTCACAATTTCTTGGAAATACTCAAATCTTTTTGTCCTAAACTTCTTTACATTTTTGGTAGCCTACAACAATTGAAAATATTGAATTAAGCATACTGTACGTGTGATGAAATGTTACAAAAAAAATTGATAATGGTACAGGTTAATGAAAAACCTTATCCCAAAATTCATCGGGTGCAACAACAGTGCCTACAATGGGATCCCATCCCAAACTAGTCTGTGCCTACAGTCGCTTAAACGTCTGGTAATCAGCTTTCAATCGCTGATATTTTTGTCGCACCTGCTTTACTGTATACCGAAATCCATACAGATTGCGCAACTGGTTTGCAAAATGATTCTAATGCCTAATTGTTCACACCATAGTACGGCCTTTTGTTTGATTTTTTTTAACCTCTTCTCTCAACATGTTTATTAATTTCATTACAATTTAGGGAGTCCACATTTTTGTATCTTGATTGTCATCTGAATTGTTTCCATCCATCTATAAACATACAATTTATATTTAAACTACTCTGCAGTGAATATAAAAAAATAACAGAGCAAACTACTCTGGAGTGGATATAAAAAAATAACAGAGCAAAAACCAATTACAATTATTTATGTACGAAGAAAAATTAATATTTATTTGAACTTGGTAAATAATGTTAGGAAAAACAGATGGTTTGAAGGGCAACACAGAGAAAAAAATAAAATCACATAACATTAATGTTTACTTCAACTTGCTAAATAATGTTAGGAGAAGCAGATGATTTGAAGGGCAACACAGAGACAAAATAAAAACCACATAACATCAATGTTTATTTGAACTGTAGGAAATGCAGATGATTTTAAGGCCAAAACAGAGACAAAATAAAAATCACATAACATTGTCTGTAAAAAGTTTGTGAAGCAAGTTTACACAGTAAACAAATAACCACAAATAAGTAGAAGAAGAAGACCACAAGAAGAAATAAGCAGAAGAAGAAGAGCAGAAGAAGAGAAGGATGGGCACAGAGGTTGACTGGCCGGATGACTCGGGGGACGACCGGTCGGATAACCCGGGGGACGACCGGCTCAGCTTCAACTGTTCAAAGAGTTCAGACAGATCAGAAACTATCTCTATACTCGTTTGGACTTCACAGAAACCATTTCAGAACTCATCTCTACAAAACAGATGATTGAAGGATATACGTACCAGATTAGTGGGAGTTGAATAATTATCACCAGTGATGGAGTGGGTACAGTGACTGAACGTGCAACTCTTTGGTAGTCGTCTTATTCAAGAATAGGTTTGATAAATTTGACCTGAGACAAAAAAAAATTAGGAATAACATTAGGGATGATTTAGAAAATCAGTGACCTGTAAGAAAACATTTGAAATAAATTTGTGATTTATTTGATCTCGGTGTCGTCGTTGTTTGGTTGCCCATAGAATGAATCTTCCACGATGCACAAATTGTAACTCACCTGATTTGTGGGAGATAGTATAAGTAGAGAGCGGGTTCATAGACATAATTTATAAAATGGTCTCAGTTCTCTATGAACACTACCCGTGACGAATCTTCAACCTTGACCTTTGAAACAGAGAAAGACGAGTAGATTAGTTCACCTGTATATTTCTTTTTGTACATGAATCTTTTCAGAGATGATAAACATGGAAGCTTTTTAGAAAGGAAGAGAAAGAAGACTAAAGACGCTGAAAGTGGAGAAATGAAGAACAAAGCTACCAAACGGGAACTCGAATTGTACTTTGAATGATATGGTGGAATTCTATTTTGAAAGTCGTATCCAAACGTGAAGCAAGAGTGATAGGGTAGAAATGTAATTTGAAAACATGTCCAAACAGAGCCATAATTTTTTGGGAATTGTAAATTCATAATATATGGGTAACAAATGAAATGTGCAATAAGATAAACAATATAATTAATCCAATCAATAATCTATTAAATCAAGAGAATTAAAAGACCCCTAAACCCATTGCAAAGGACAAAACCACAACAATTTGATGCTACAATTCTAAGAAAACTACCGATTGAACTGGTGAAAAGATAAATGTGAAGGTAAATTCTAATAAGGGACCTCACATTTGTAAGAAAATGAAATAGAGAAAGAGGACATTTTGAGTATGAACATGCCAAAAAGCACACCTGCTTGTACTATAGCAAAATGCAAGTATCACTTATAGTAGATACACTAGTAAATATGCCTGTGCAAGGCATGGGCTATTTGCACAGGATATTTGAATTTTAAGTGAATTGAAAATATATGTTTTTTGAGATTTGTTTAAAACACAAATTATCTCATGTAGTTGTGAAAATTACATCTCGCCCTTTCAAGTTTTTAGTTGCATAACAAATGATCAATTTTATTAATAAATTATTACGTTAATTAACAGTTTTTAATACTATTATAAATATATTTCAATTAATAATTCAAGTATTTTTATTGTTGTATTAATTTTGTTAAATAAAAAATCTTGACAAAAATTATATTTGTAATTTTCAAAATTATAGGGGATAATCCATATTTTAAGTAAATCTAAGGGGATGTATTTGTAATTGAGTTTGGCTTCTCTCATGTTGTCATCTCCAACTTGAGAGAGCATATAGACTTTGTAAGCTCATTTTGGAATTAATTTCGGTGATCCGAAATAAATGGTTATTCTTGAAATTATATTTGTTGTCTATTTTTTTAAAATAAATATAATTCAAATATATAATTACTGATATTCAATCATGTTGATTTTTTGCTAACATGGGCTAACATAGCATTCGTTGGAATGCTATGGTTTACTTATGACAGTATTTATTGCATGCTATAAAATTTGTTATTTGTTGTAGTGACTCTTGCAAATAAATAATAAATAATTATATTTATATTTATATTTTTTAATGTTGAATAAGAGTGACTCAAGTCCATCAATGGATTTATAGTTGTTAGATGTTTAATTGTTATATTATCTTAATTTGGTTCTTTTGAAGCATTTGAAACTTACATTTTTATAGTATAGCTTGCATGCATTGATTGTTAACATGTCAAGCTAAAGATTTTTGCTATTATAGCTTATGCACACTAAGACATTGAATTGTTAAGATGTCAGATTTTTTTTGCTATTATTGTTTCTTTGGAATGTGTGGATGGAAAATGTCTCAAATCCCATAATAATAGATCAATATGGTCGAAAATAAGCAAGTTCCAGTCAAAAGTAGGTATAAGATCCACACTTGAGTTCTCTCTTTCAAGTGATTAGTTGAGAAATAAATTTAATAACCTTAGAATGAATTTTGTGAGTTAATTTTCACCAAAAAATCGGCCCTATTGAATGAATGAACCAGTAATTGGATCTTTTGTGAATTATGTTTGAAAGTAGTTGGAAACTAAATTTTGGTTTAAAATTCACATATAGATTCTTATCAAATTGATCTTTCAAATAAAACATAAATATTCTACACAAGTTTCATATAGCTTACTTCTTAATAAATGCTAGACTCAGAAGATCCTTAAGAAAAAGCCAAAGAAGGGGTCTAAAAATGCTAAACCTATTACAAAGACTGAAAAATGTGAAAGTTTCTTCAACTTCTTTAGCCTCCCAAGGTTCCTGAGGCTAAAGATGATATTGGTGAAGATACTGTACGTTTATCAACTTTATACACGTCAAAATAATTGTTGACGCCATTATGAATTATAATTTGGGTTCTCTTCTAATTCGTTCGTACTATTGATTAACAGGCGGAAGAACTTCAGAACCAAATGGAGTAAGACTATGACATTGGGTGAGTCAACCATTCTGTTTTCACTTTTCAGTTCTGGATATTGCATACAATGATTAAATGTGCTCTTATTTTAAGAATTATGAAATTGTACGAATTAGTTCTAGATTATATAAAGAATGCAGTTATGTGAACTCACATCTAATTGTGTATGGAGGCACTATAACAACCCTCATTTTTGCCTTAGTCATATTCATGAGAATTTATATGATTTTGGTTTGTTAAGCTTGCATTTTGTAAACTTTGATATTTTGTCTAAGTGTGGGATGCTGTGTTGTTTTGATGCTATTGTATTTTGACTAAGTATAAGATCCATGTTTTGTTCCATGCTTTGTGCGTTGAACCTAGGCTATCTACCTTTTCTACCTTACACCTAGTTCACATCTTTGAACCTCTTATACCTAAACTGTTGAGCGACAACACCTAAGGCCATCTTGGAACCATCTTGGCTGACCTCTAACTCCACCTCTACCCTCACGCCTTAGCTAAAGTATGTATCACTTAAGCCAATGTGTGCATCACCTAGCAATCCGAAAACCTTGATCCTTGAACTTTGCAGCCATGTTGGGCACCTTCTTGTTGAGTTGTGCACCTTAGCCAACACCTAGCAACCTTGTTCCATGTCTTGTACAACCTAGGCCGAGGTGTGTCACGCTTAGGCCAAGTATTACCCCTCTTAGCCGAGATCAGGAAGACCTCACCTATCCTTCACTTGTTTGAATACTATGTTTGATCTCGGATCCTTGCCTTGTTAGTGTACCAATGCCACCTTACTTGTTGTATACGCTTTGACCTACTCTTGTCCTTTTATTCAAATACATTTTTGAAGAGATTTGACCAAATGATGCCACGCGTCCCAGTAGTGGGTATTGGTTAGCGAGCAATTGAGAAACCCATATCATTTGCCATATCTTTGTCTTGCAGAGAGAGCAGCTCTAGGAAGAAGAAAAAGTTAGATTTTCTAAGCTTGATTATTAGACTTTGAACTTTGATTTGTGTTTTGAAGTTAGACACTTGATCTATTTTTGTTGTTCTTTATGTCAATTTGATCACATTGCATGATCTTGCATGATTCATGAGCCATGCATTGATTTGAAGTTTTGTTTTAGGGAGAAAAAAGTGATGTTCTTGTGTTCTTGAAGAAAAATCATGTTTTGATCCAAAAATTGTAACAAGTTCTATGCTTTTGTGTTTATTTTCATGAAATCTTCAAGTATGGGTACCCAGGTCCATGTTTGCAAATTCATATCATGAAATCTTAGATTTTAAATAAGAAGTTATAATTTTAGCATTTATGTTCTTCATGTTTATGTTCTTCATGATCTTTAAAAGGAAACCTAGATTTTCAGATTTCATTATTCCCTGAGTGTCGTCACCGAGGCCCACTCTTGTCTAGCTCTCATACTTAGGCCAAGCATTGCATCTCACCTTAGCCTACGTTGCATGTTCACTTGTACCTTGGTCTACACCTAGGCCGACCATGGCACAACTTTGTTGACCAACTTGTAACATTCTGGGTGGGCAGCTCACAACTCGGCCAAGAAGACCACACCTCGGCCATGACCTCTTAAGTTCACTTAACTAGGTCATTTCGGCCCTGCACCTCTTTGTCCATCCATTCCTAGACCTAGTTTGTACCCAACATGCTTATCCTAGAAGAAAAACATTGATTTAACTTTTAGAACATGTTTTGCTTTGGTTTGACTTGGTTTTGAAAAGAATATCGAGATCTATTTTACTCATTTGAAGCTTGTTTTGAGATTGCATTACATAACCATCTTTGAGCATCTCTTATTGTCTTCTTGAAGTGCATTCGACGGGATTTACCATGTATTTGTAGGTCTTGGATCTTTGCCTTATTTCTCCTTGACCAAAGAGCTATTGTGAGTGATATTTTTAATAAAGTTATGTTGTATTGTTTTAGATAAAAGCTTTGCTTTGTTTTGAAAAAATATTTGATCAAGCATGAATGATTATCTCTTAGTTTTTGTATCAAGTATTATGTTTGTTTTAATGACGTTCTTGAAAGGTCCTTGTGTGCTAGGAGATTTTAATACAACTAGTACCTTTATTTGAGATATCTCATTTGCCATAGATGGGTGGGCTTGTCTAATTGATTCCGGGTCGGTTATTTCTTTGTTTTAGCAATGAATGTTCATTATTTGTATTATGTAGATATTCGTAAACATAATTTGAAGCTTTGAAAGCCTTTGATTGATGACTCAGATCATCCTTTGATTTTGTTGCAAGCTATGATGTGTATTGTTTTGATAAAAATCTCGGATATCATTCATTCAAACTTTTATTACTTATATTATTCATTGAGTTTTTAGCTCACTTACCCTCTCCTTTATATATATGTAGATGATGAATAAGAAGGTGATGTTGCCTAAGTTTGGTGGAATATGTGTTTTGTTTCATGTTTTGTATTCATCTTGAAGATTATACTTCTTAGTTTTGTAGATTTTTTCTTTTGTATGTTTTGGCTCAAGAAGCCTTTTGATCAAGATGTAACATGTGGATGTTTGTGTACAATCTTATTATCTTGTTTGTATCCAAGTTGTAAAGCTATGTTAATATTTTATGTGTCTCAACGTATGCCATTTCCTTTAACTTATGCACAATTCTTATGGACTAATTAGATTTAAATTTATTACTTCCGTATATGCATGCTCCATATGTATACTCTGTATGTGTGAATCTTTATAAGTTGGCCTTCGGTAATCTAAGATTACTGGCCATCATAGCATCATTCTATTAGAGGCGGAATGGAGTCGTGACATGTCCTTTTTTATGTACTTTTTTTTTTTTTTTTGTAACTTATGCCAAGAAAGGTAATTTGATGTGTGTTGATATATGTAGTTCAACTATTTGGGACAAAATTATCCCCTATGTTGCCTTATGGTTTTTGAGGGAGGCTATTCAGGGGCATGACTTTGAAGACGTGGATAACGACAACGATGATGATGATAATGATGAAGAAGAAAATGAAGATAAAGATGAGGACAATTATGAAAACACAGACGAAGAAGAAGATAAGGACAAAACCAGCACAAAGAAGGTAACTCTTACAAAATTCTAAGCAAAAGCCAAAGTCTCCTCCTTACCACCGTTAATTTTCAATTTCTGAACGTACTAATACTTTATTTCCCTGTTTTTCTATTGGCCATTTGATTGAGATTTTCTAGCAGTCATCTGGACCAAAGGTGAGAGATGATACAACTACGTAATTTATTTTTAACTCCGTACAAAATGTAAAGATTTTCAATAGTGTGTGCTTTGGATAACATCTAGTTTGTTATGAATTACAGAAGGGTATTCGAGCACTACCTAAGGAAGGTTAGCAGAGTGAGCGTCCACCAGAATGCAAGCAACAATAGTAGGTATTAGATTACAGGTAAGATCTTCATTTGGGAACACAGGTTGAGAGATGTTGTCTTGAGTTTTTGAGAGTTTTGGGTCTGGGATTTCTCCCTTGTCTACTGAAGTTGTTTGGTTCTCTCTCTTTCTTTCTCCCTCTCTCTTATATTTTTTTTTTCTTATAAGGAATATTTATATTTTGTTTTTTTAGAAAGTATTTATATTACATTTGGTATCATGAAGGAAGTCGTATGAGATGAAAATCCCATGTACGATTCTGAAACAAAGATACTTGATTCAAATAACGACCGTAACAAATATGTTAAATTAATTCACGATGCGCATACATATATATTTTTTATTTTTCTCATCCTTTATGTTGGGAGCATTAATGCTTGTATTTTAGTTTCAAATTAACATTACGTTTGTATTTTGATTTCCGACTAATGACAACATGACTGCCGCCCAACTAGTTTATTTATATATAAATAACATATATACTCTTTGATTTTTACCAATATAATAAAATTAAATTATGACAATACAATACATTTATTATTTATTTTATGGACTTAGATTTTATGTGGATTGGACCGTATTGCTCAGATCTATGAGGTTTATCACGAGTCTTATTTTAATAATTTGAATCGTTCAATATGTAAAACTTGTTGAGTATTTTATTCTTGTAAAAAATCACATTAATTGAATATCGATAACTATTTAATTGGATCAGATTTTTATCAAAAAATTATTTTAAAAATCATATTTATCATTGATAGAAATATAATTTAATCATATGACTACACATATTCAATTTATATATTTTTATAATAATAAAATACTTAACAAATGTTACACATAAAAATTTTAAATTATCAAAATAAGATCCATTATGAATTCTCACAAATCCAACAACAAACTTCAATTAATAAATAGGTGTTTGGCATACACTAAAAAAGTATACTTTTTTATATATATATATACTTATTTTGGTCATATCAATCAACATATATCAATATCTCCTCTCTATTTTTCTATTTATCTTCTTTATTTTTCTACATAATTTTTTATAAAAAATTAAAAAATACATTTATTTAAAATCTTTCAAATCACCCCTAAATTTTGTACGGAAGAGAAGCATCGCCTGATTTTATGAATTGTATTAAGAAGATGATTACTTTTTAACTTTTTTTTATGTAAAAAAAATAATTTAAAAATTATAAAATGACTTTTAATTCAAAATAAGCCTATTTCTTATTTCATATTTTAAACGAGTTGCTATGTGAGCCACGGTGAAACACGTGGCAAGCTTATCTCGTCCAAGTCGAAGGAAATCGAGAATCTTCTCATATAAAAATCACGAGAGCCGTCGATCAATGCCAACCCCTATTCACATGGGTCAACGTCTCATCTACGGCCAGGCACGTCTGACTGTTCATTGACAGCCGTTGGATCGCTCTGGACAATTAATAAATCACCCCTCCTTCTCAAAATACAACGTCTCATCTACATTTTCATTTTCTTACATTTTCATTTTCTTGTACAGCTTCTCTCTTACCGTGAAATTCCGTTACCCCCTTTTCGTTAGATCTCTTCTCCTTGGTTTCTCAGCTTTGAATTCGTTCGACGATCTGCGTTTTGATTATGGATTCGAGTGTTTTCGTTGAGCGATTCGCTTCCGATCTTCGATTCAGACTCGTCCTTTCTTCGGTCATGGGTGAATTGAGGTGTGTATTTTCCTCCATTTCTTGAAGGCTCTTGATGTTTGTTCTGAACCATTAGTGCTCGGGCTTTGTACGTCTGGTTCGATGCGAAACCTTGCCGTCTTTCTGAAATTCTTGAGGTGTGTATTTACAGCCTTTGACAATATCGTATGTATTGTAAATCTTGGGTTCAGATCTATTAATTTTTCAACTTTTTATGTTCATTTTCAGATCTAAAACGCTTGGTTTGATCGGTGCAATCAATTCAGATCTCGTGATTCTTATGGATTCAGATCGGATTTTGATATGAAGCTGTGAAGGATTGCTAAAGTGTTTCTTTATGCTTTTTTTGATGTGCTTTCTTTTGTCATCTTCTTGGTATAATAAAGAAGATAGTTTGTGTGTGTGTGTTTTCGGTGTATACCAGAGGGGTATAGCCTAGGGTAAGAAAAAAATGTGAGATGTGTAATGTTCTACTGGTTGTCAATCGACCTTTGCCATGTCAGATGCGCTTGCTTGGCAGGTCAAAAAAAACCCTAATAAAAAGTTTGTTTTTTGTGTTTGAGGGGGTGATGGTACGGGGTTTTGCCCGGCTCTCCCCTTCTTGTGTGTTGCGTCTTTTTTTTTTTTCTCTCTTGATTTTGTCCTCCCCAATTCTCTCTCCAATCCAATCAGTTCATCGTGTCTTTATTTGTCTCTCGAATGGATGATTTTACATCGATTCGAAACAAATAGGGACATCAACACGCCAATTATTTGTACATCAAGCAAGCAAACACAAGGATGGGATTAGCACATCATGACTATTCAGTCCAAGAGGTACAAACAAACAATTTCCTTTAATTTATTTTGGCTCGAGTAATGCTAGAGACCTCTGGTAGATTATTTGTAGTTCATAGTAAATTATTACAGATTTATCAGAAGTTTATATTTTTAATTATTAATATTTATGAAGTTAAGTTCTTAAAACCACCCCTGAAATGAAATTTCCCTTTTAATTAATTAAACTTATAGCATAAATCAGCACTAAATTCGAGCATGTCTGAATCTACCATCTCACTAGCCTCATTTCAAAAGCAGCAGTCTGTGTCTTGGAAACCTAATCTTTATTCTCAAAGCATCTGACATACTCTAAAAATTGTTGATTAGTTGAGAAGAAAATTACTCTAAAAATTGTTGTTGATTAGTTGAGAAGAAAATTTTATAGTACATCATATGTCAAATTATGATTTTGTGCTTTTTTGGTTACTTCCTATGTTGGGGTGCTTGGTGGGTTTTTTTTTTAAGTAACTTACGACTTTTGGCTTTTAAAAATTTATTTTAAACTGTTTGGTTAAATTTATTTAAAAAGTTTTTGATTTTAACAACTTATTTGAAGTAAAAAAAAATTGATTTTGAGAAGTTTTTACTCTTTACTTTTTGATTATTAGCTTCTGTTTTGTACATGTTAATTCACTATTATATTTTTAAATTTTTTTATTTTTATTTTTTTAAAAATAGAAAGAGTTATAAAATATTATTATTATTATTTACGAGAAATGTAGATAAATAATGAATAATAAAAAAATAAAAGTTAATTGAAAAAGTTATTTCAAATCTTATTTAACAAACACTACTATTAACTTAAATTTATAATCCAATAGTAACAGTTTCTGATTAAAATTATAATTTATAATCTGTTAAACTATAATTTATAATCTATTCGTACAGTTACACCAAACAAGACTGTTATGACTTGGTCATGGCAGGTGTTTACGACCTATTGTGATTAGGAAAATGATACTCTCTCCGTCCCAAAATATTGGTCCCTTTGGTCCCTTTTGGGGAATTTAACTTTTTTTGGTAGCACACTTATTGCATTTTAAAAGTTAATTTTTAAAATTACCCTTTAGATAGTAATTTTTTAGGAATATCAATATCATAGTTGTACTTTTTAAATTGTTTATTAATTTAAAAGAAGGGCAAAATAGGGAATTTATATTATTTTTGTACTTGATTTATAAAGAGGGATTAATATTTTGGAACGGATGGAGTATAAAAGTTTATTTTTTAGACTTCCTTTTTAGATGCAATGATGTGTGGAAGAGATGATTGGCGAAGATTAGACACTATCAGGATTGTTATTTTGTTGGTTATGACCTATAATGATCTTGGTTATAATAAAAAATGACTTTAGATATATTTTCGTGGTGTTTGGATGTGACACTGTTTTTGAAGTTATGATTGAAAATGATTTAGTTATGATATTTATGTAATTAATATAAAAAATGTACATATGTTAAGGCTCTATTCTAGAATGACCCCATTGTAAGTAACTAATATTGTAGATGGTTCAATTGTCAAAGATTGTTGGTTCAAATATTGTGTAATTGTGCACATAATGTAATTTTAGAGAGGTTCAGTGTGCATGGGCTGGTTTATGTGTTTTTGGTTAGGGTTTAGGTTAGAATGGGTGGTGGTTTGGGGGGTTGGTCCCTTGTGGGTAATTGTAATTTAGTTAAAATGTCAATTGTAAACCAGTATAAAGCTCAAGCGTTGGTGGTGGCTGCATGTTGTGGCTTTAAATCTCATATGTGGGTTCATGAATTTTGTTTCAGTGTTGCAGCAGAGTAAAGATTCTTGATTCCTCTGTGCTAGCTGGAGAGAGGATGAATTTTAGCGGCCTGATCATTTGAAGGAATAAATTCATGCATTGTAGAAAAGAATTTTTTTTCGTCATGTTGATGCAGAAGAGAGGCGACAGTACTTTCTTATGTGCTGAATTTATAATTTTTTTTTCTATTTCTTTGATGATGCAGAAGAGGAGACAGTACTTTCTTATGTGGTGAACTCAAATTTTTTTTTTGCTATTTCTTTGATATTGTGGATTTTTTTAGCTAATGTGATAGATTTTGAATTGCATTGGTTCTGACTTTGGGGTTGAGCATGTCTAATTTAAATCTTGGTTCTTCATGCGTAGATTTTGTGGTGTGAACTTCATTATTTTTTTGGCAGAGATGGTGGAGTCCTTTATACTAGTATTTCTTGAGGGTATGTGTGAACTCTGTAATAAAAAATTGTTACATCGATTGTAGAGAATAAATTGTTTGTAGTTTTGCACACTAAACTAGCTGGACAGTTATTATCAGATATTGCAAATTGCAATTTTAGCTATAATGATTTTTATTTACTTAATTTTCCCCTAGGTTGCGGCCAAATGCATTGTAGGAAGTATGGCGTGCAGTTCAGCATTGTATATCTGCTTGTGTTTGCCATTTGTTGTATTTACTTCATATGTTGTGGTGCTGATCCCCAGGAGGCTTGAGTTTGAAGTGTTATGGGGTCATCTGAGATAGATTTCTAGAGTTCGCTTCTGACACACCATGTTTGCTGAAGTGTCGCAATGCCACAATAAGGTATTTCTTTACTCAACAAAAACTAGGAATCTGTGGTCTTTTTTACTGTTTTGGGTAAAAATTTGAGTAGGTATTTGTGAAGAGAGAGGGGTAAAGGTAATACTATAGTGCAATTTGGATTGGGCTCAACTCGAGCAACTTGAATCCAGTCCGAATTTTTTTGGGTTGGGCTCGAACCGAGCCCAAATGACATCAAATCTTACAATTTATTTTATTTTATTTTTACTCATAAATTGTAAAGACTATTACAACGACATCTCTCTTACATTATATAAATTATAAAAATGTAAATAGAGTCAAATTTTAATAATTTCTGAACGTAGCTGGGAAAAAAAAATTTACAATTCGGACAACTCGGGTTTAACTTGGGTCGGGTTTAGACATTCAACCTTGGGTTACAATTCGGGTTTGGACGGGTCTGGGCGGATCTCAGTACAACTTGAGCTGGGCTTGGACAACCTCCGAATCCGTCCAAGTTGCACCCTTAAGTAATACTAAAAAATTTTAGGTTTTACTTGGATGGTTTTCTTTCTTTCTTTATTTCTCTACAAGAATTTTTCTACAAATAATAGATCTAAACAAACTTTAATGCTGTCTGATAGCATCTCCAATTGTGTATGAAATTTTTTTATCAAATTTGAGTAAGTTATTTTTTGATATTACCTGCTTTAATGGAGAGTTTTGGCGTTTCATCAAATCACTTGACGATTGGGCGGATGACCGGTCAGTGTAGAATTTCTATGAAATATTGTTTTGAGGTGGTCATAGGGGACATTTGGTAGTGAAAATATAACGGACTGTGATTTGATGAAAGGCACAAAGTTTTCTCAGTTTGGTGAAACATTTTTTATTATATTTTTGATTTTTTCAATTTGATATTTGTTTTATGAAATCATTGGAGTAGAAAAAATGGATATTTTCTATCAAATTTGAATTTGTTGATGGATTTGGTACACATTTAGAGATGGCCTTGTGAATATTTTTTGGTGAAAACTATCTGTTGTGTTAATGATACTGTTTTGAGGAAATATGGTGGAACTCTTTTTATTATTTTATTTAGCATCGTTGACCTCAAGTGAGTTGTGAGAATTGCTCACTTTTTAGTAATTTATTTGTTAAAATTTTGAGAACATTATCATTTTATTCAGTGAGAACATTATCGTTTAATTTAGTTTTGTAGCTGGTTGTTGAAGCTATTGTGGTTGGTGCCGCAATTATTTTATTGTTTTGGGCCTTTTTAAATTAAATTTAAATTTTCTTGTTTGATTGTAGAAAGGTGGAAAATGTGGAGTGCTTGTCAATCTCTTGGTTGAACTCTGAAGATTAAAGAAAATAAAAAGATTTATCATATTATTTCTATTTTTTTGCATTGGATTTTGTTACCTCTGTGGGATTCCAAGCTGACCACAAAACTTTCCTCACTTCCCGCAAACTCTTTTTTCGTTTATAATTAAAACAATATAAATTTATAATAAGTATTTTACACATGGGTGGGTAGGTCTGGATTTGTTTAAGATTTTACAATTAGCAGCTGTTATTTTTTATATTTTAAATGAAAAAATTTTAGAATTTTTTAAAATTTTGTTATGAACTTTGAATAGAATTTTAAGTAGTGGTTGGTTATGAACTTTAAGTTTTTATATCAGATATTATGTTACATCAAAAATTAACTCAATTCAAAGTTCTTTTTAATTTTTTTAAAAATTCTTAACTAAATAAAATTTTCACACGCAAATTATAATTTTAATATTCACAAACTTAAAAAAATCTAAAAAGTTAAAGTCATTAACACGACGTTTTTTTTGAAAGAAAAGAAACGGGAAAATGAGTTACTATTATTGCTTATAAAACAATTTTAACAACTCTGTCCGGTGACAATTGAAACAATTAAAAATTATTTGTAGATGGTTCTCTCTTTAGTGATGCTTTCATATTTTGTTTTCGAAATTATAATTACAACATTTGAAGTTTACTTAAACTGTGGGTTGTCCATGTGATTTGCAAAATTGTAAATATTATCTTACTAAGAATTTTTTATTTATCAAAATTAATTGAAAAAATAGGAGGTTTGGAATGCTTTAAATAAGTGTATTTTTTGATTTTTTTATAAAATATGGATTGAATTTGAAGTGATGTGGTAGAAATGTGATGTGATTTAAATAAGATGATATGATTTAAATAGGGTAGTAATTTTTTAACTTTTTAGTTTTTCAATAGATGTTTAACTGTTTCTTTTATTTATACTTGAATTATTAATTACAATATTTTTTTATTTGATATAATTTTAATTGTTAATTCCCTTCATTTATTAATAAGAAGGGTTTTGTTAAAAAATTAGAAGTTTCAAGGGTGGGATGTAATTTTTTTAATTACAAAAGATAAATTGTATTTTAAGTAAATTTTAGGGTGTATTTGTAATGTAGTTTATTTATTTTGATGTAGCTAATTTAGATGTGTTCAAAAAAATTAAAATAGAAAAAATTACTAAAAATAGAACAATAGTAGAAAAAATTGTTTTAAATATATGAAGTTTTTGAAAAACACAATGTTAACGTAATAGTATTTGGAAAATCAAAATGAAGTTTTTGGTTGCCAGTTTTTGGTTTTAGTGATTTTTTTTTATTACATTTTAGTTTTAATTTTGGACTTTAGTTTCACATAATGTGAGATTCACTTTAAAAATAAAATTTTACCTTTTTTTTAAATAAAATTTTAAATTTACTAAATACAAAATAATTCAAGAAGTTATTTCATTTATATTTGTTTTGTATTTATTGATTTTTTAAAATATAGTGGGTAAATTATAAATAACAAATATGCCCTTGATTAAAATAGGAAAAATTAGTCTATGGTCCCCCTCTCATTTTTCGTGATAGAAGAGGTCTTCAATATTATTTTGTGATGTTTAAGGTTTCTTAACCCTACACCAATATATCACAGAGAAAATTCACTCCCTCTTCTTCTTTCGTATGCAACAATTTCTTCTTCACTCTCTCTGATTCATTGACCTGACTTTTGTGATTTATTGTTAACCGTTATATCAAATGCATAGAGACTAGAATTATAAGTATATTTAGTGTCTTCTTCACAGAGTAGCTTTGAAATGCAAGATTTGTAACACTACAAATCTAAGATCTCTCTCAGATTAGCGAGAAAGAGGCTTGAAAACACTTAGTGATGATTATGAGTTGCATGTTCAAGTTCGTATTTGATTAGCAGTGATCAAACTAGAGTTTGGAACGAAGAGAGAGTGAGATGCTTTTATGGCCGATCAGAGAGGTTTGATGATATGTTACAGAGATTCAGAATGCTCCAATACCCAAACGATGCCATTTTGTGGAGCAGAGATCTTCGGTATCACAACAGTCCAAAGCAAGAGTTGAAGATCAGGTCTCTTTCTCTATATCCCTCATTTTCGTGTTTCTCTTTTCCCTCTGTGATTTCAATTCCTTCAAGAGCTTAGGGAATAACTATCTAGGGCTCAAGGATCACAAGTTGTATCCATAAGTTGAAGAGGTGTTTCAGGACAAAGCGACACTGAGCGCGGCGGAGATCGGCAAAATCATGATAGCCAACAAGAACTCATCGAGTAGGGCGTTGAGGTCGGTGATCGGAATAGCATATTCACCTTTCTCTTTAATCGATGTTTCACAACCTTTGATTTTGTATTTGTTTTGTGTGATTGGTTCTTTGAAATCACTGTGTGTGTGGAATTGAAAGGTCTGTAATCAAGGATTTACTTCAATTTGTTGCAATTACGATATGGAAATTGATTTGTGTTTTGTTTGATATTGTTTCACATATACATTTCAAGAGGTTTGTGGGAAGTCTAGAGAAGGCCAGAGAATTTTCAAAACTTCTCTGGAGAGGTGGAGAGGTAATTTTGTGGGAAGTCCAGGGAAGGCTGGAGAAGGCCAGAGTTAATTTCTCTGGAGGGAAGGCCAAAGAAGGGAAATTTCTATGGAGAGAAGGGAAGACCTGATCATGTCGACGCCTTGATAGCACTGGACCATTAGATTCCAACGGAGCCCATAATTTATGAAAATCCCAAATCACATTCACATCAGTTACCAAATACACTACTACTAACTAATCTCAATCTCACCAAAACAACAATAAAATGCATAGCATACGTATACTACATCTGTTCTAACTATTCTATTACATAAATGCCTACAACATTTTGTCACAACCTTTACATTTCAAATTCTCCTACGAATATTTTACTTTTTTATTTTAAATTTCAAATCTTTATAGCTTCTTTACTCAAACCAAAGAAAATTCAAATTTCTCTGGGTTCATTTTGATCAATTTTATTTGGGTTTTCAAATTTCTTTGGATTCATTTTGACCAATTGAAGGCTGGTGAAGTTAGAGAAATTTTCAAATTTCTTAGGAGTGTTGAGTCCATAAGAGGCAAGGAGGGCAGAGAAATTTAAAATTTCTCTGGAGATGTAATTTTGTGGAAAGGCAGAAAAATTTCTCTGGGAGAGTGGGAAGTATATGGAAACAGAGAAATTTGGAAAAAGGGAAGGCAGAGAAATTTACAGTAAGAAGTTTAGTGAAAATCAGAGAAATTTAAAAAATTTTCTAGAAAGTTTAGAGATTCTTCCCAGAATTTTTCTGGACCAATTTTCTCTGTGATGTGAATTTTCTCTAGATCAATTTGAGGGACCTTAGACATTATTAAAATATTAAATTTTCTCTAGATCAACTTGAGGGACCTGAGACATTATTAAAATATTGAATGTTTTTTATGTTATAAAATCTTAATACTAAGGATTTTAAAAAAAAAAAAAAACCCCATTAAAATATGGATAATTAATATTGAATGTACTTTATGCTATAAAATTTTAATACTAAGGATTTTTTTTTTAAAAAAAACCCATTAAAATATGGATAATTTTGTGATTTTAGAAATTATATGGTTTTGATTGATTTTTTGAAAATTGAGTTTTTTTTTTATAATTTATTTTGAGTGTATTTTTATTTTTAGCAAATTTTTTAAACATATTTTTAAGTTCTTTGTTTTTTAAATACACTTAAAAAGTAAATTTTTTTATAAAAAATATTTAGAAAATTTAATAAATGCATAAGAACATGGAAGTATATTGAAATTTTTTAATTTTTTGTATTTGATTAATTTTTTAAAGATTTTTCATAAATATTATGTTGTATCTTTTTTTTTGAAGATATTTTCATAAATATTATGGGGTATCTTAATTTTTTTTAAATATATAAATTTTTATTTAATTAAAAATAAAAAAATTAAAAATTAAAAATTAAATTTTCTGACAAAGGGGTTTAATTTTTGGAATGCAAGCAAGGTGATAATTATTCTTTTGTTAGAATTTTTAATGTAACAGAGTTAAATGTAAAAAACAATAAAACAATTGTTCTTATTGAGCATTAAAATTGTTTAAATTATTAAAGGAATTGCATATTTTATATCATTAAAAAAATATTAATTAACTTGATAATTCATTAATAAAAAGAGTCTTGAAAGATGTGATGTAATTTTTAGAATTATAAGGGATAATTTGTATTTTAAATAAATTTTAGGGAGTATTTGTAATTTGTTCTATATGTAAAATCAAAAGTAGTACAATAATTAAGGGACTTGGACATTTTTGGCGTTACAATCTTCCTTTGTTTTGGATAAAAGTATTTTATTGCAATCGTATTTTGCATTAAACTAGGTGGTCAATTGAAATATTTTTATTTTTATTTATTCTATTAGAAGTTAGGAAGATGTTTTTTCAGATTAAAGTGGGTTTATGTAAAATGGTTTCTGTTGAAATATGGATTTTGGAGATTAGAGTTTCTATATTTGTTTTCTGTTGTTATGGGCAACAACTTCTGGATTTAAATAAAGTGGAAATTACAAATAAAATAAAATTTATGGTTAAGACTTTTGTAACAAAATAATTTTTTAATTTTTAATTGTCATTTGTATATTTTTGTTAAGTAAAATTTATGATAAAAAAATATTTTGGACATTTTATGTATAAATTGAGTTTAATGGGTAACATATTTTATTTTTGTAATGAAAATAGGTAGTAGGTGAATGATTAATATTGACAACAATTCAAAAGAGGAGGATTTAAATTTGATAAGCAGGACTTAAATCTGATAAAATTAAAAATTCAGGTTTATTTTGTTATAAGAGTTAAACTTTGTTGTATTTTTTTAAATAACATACAGTTTTAAGTAGAAGATGATGGAAATTTTTATTTTTATTTAGTAACTTTAGTTTTTATTTTTATTTATTATCAAGTCAACAAAAACCATGCTCAATTTTATTTATTATTTTATTATCATCTTTTTTAGGTAGCTTAATTGTATATGGGTTAATCTGAATTTGGTAGGGGATCCAAGCGCTCAAATGCTATTCTTATGCATTTGGGAGGATAGCGGTTTGAATGCACTTGGATCCTTTGTCATTGAGGGGTTGTGTGGTAACTGGATTTTTAGTTTTTGTCACTAAAAAATTAGGTGAAAAAAAATTGAAGAGTTTGGGATAGATTTTTTTTTAACGTTTTATGAAAAAAATATGTAAAAAAAAAATAAAAAATAAATAGAGAAATAGAAATGAATTTTCATTTTATGAAAAATTAGTCTAAGGTTGCTCTTTCATTTTTAGTAATAGAAAATGTTCACAATATTATTTTATGATGTCTAAGGTTTTTCAACTCCACACTCATATATCACAGAAAAATTTGATTCTTTCAAATTAAACCTTATCTCTCTCTCTCTCTCCAAACTCCTCTCCGTCGTAGTCTATCGCCTCCGTGACCCTAATTCTGCTGTTTGCTCTACCTGCGTCACCGTTACTGCTTCTTTCCCCTCTCACGTCATGATATCTCCATTTACTTCGATTATCAAGCATTTGGTTGAATCTCTAGTCACTGAACAAGGTTAAAGAGATTTGGTTTCTAAATCTCATTTTGTAGCAATCTCTCTCTCCTTCTTGCGTTGGTGGGTTCGGCGATGGTGGGAAAGGGGTTGTGATGGTGGCTCAGATTTGGTTTGATTATGACAGGGATGGTGATTTGTTTTGCAGCGATCTCTCTCTCTTAGTAGATCATGTGGTCGTCATGATGCATGGAATTCTCAGAAGGTAACATATATATATATATAATCATCTAGCAGACACATATATATACTCAAGTTGCGTTTGATAGAGTTTTCTAAATATGATTTGAGAATAGAGTTGTATTTTGAATTTGTGAATTTTGAAATTATGATTTGAGTGTGAAAAATTTGTTTGGTGAATGAGTTTTGAAAAGAGTTTTGAATTGAGTGGGAATTTTGGATGTGACATATGATATTTGATACAAAAATTTACAACTCATAACCAAATACAAAACTCAAAATTTTATTCAAAACTCATAAAAAATTTTAAAAATGCGGAAAATATTTTTTTATTGAATATATAAAAATTAACATGTCAAAAAAAAATAATAATTATGCACTGTCTCGGTCAACTAGTCGAACGACCGGTGGGACATCTGGTGAGACGACCAGTTAGTTCAAATTTTTCCGTCTTCGACTGAGTTTTCAAAAGTGAGTGTAGAATTAATTTTTGAAAGCCACAACCACACCATGTGCAAACTAAGAGCTAGAATCATAATTCCAAAACTCTTCCAAACATAGCCTTATATGTTCTTAATTTCTGTTTTTGTTTTGTGAATTATTTTATTAGTTCTTGGTTTTGATGATATTTGCTTTACATTTGATCGATTTGAAAGATAAAGTCGGATTTTTCAATTATTGTTTGATATGCTTTAGACTTTTTACTTTTTTTTGTTCCCTTAATATCTTTTATTTCACGATTTAGAAATTCAGAAAAAATCCAGAGAATTTCTCTGGCCTTCCTAGAATTTCATTATTCATTTCAAGGTTTATAAGCTGAATGAAGAAGAGCACAGATGGGCTGAAATGACAGGTTTGGGTGAGAGAGTATTGTTGGTGGGTACAGATTGCTCCTAATCTGTTTTTGTTGCAAATTTTGATTGATGCAAAGAGGAGAATTGTGTTTTCTTTTTAGATGAATGTTGCAGTCTGTATGATGAAACCTTTCATGATCAATATGATGAATTTTAGGCATATGGTCAATGGAAAATTGGGATTTTCAGTTTGGAGGATGAGAGTGTTAGGCCATTAGTCTTTTACCCTAGCTTTGCTGTCATTTTTTGGCCTCCCCTAACTTGGCTACTTTCTTCAAATTCATCTTTATATCTGTCTTGAAAGTAAAGTTTCAAATACACTTTTTTTTTAAGAAGCCCCCTAAAGTTTTGGTTTTGAATCATTAATACAGTCCCTTGTTATTCGAAGCTAGAGAAATTTTTGCGAAAACTAGTGAAATTCTCTGAAAATCTTGAGAAATTCTCTAGACTGGAATTCAAAGAAATTCTCTAGCTTTTCCATAATGTCTCTTCAGGAAAGACTAGAGAAATTCTCAGAATTTTTTTGGCTCGAATTTTCTCTAGATCGATATTGAGGGACTTTAGACATTATAAAAATATTATATGTCTTTTATGCTATAAAATCTTAATACTATGGACCCTAAAAAGGAAATCCCTTTTATTTTTTTATATGATTTTTTTTTTTTATTTTGGGGCTATTTTAGTGGGTTTTTATAATATTTTAGTTAAAACTTAATTTTAACAAACGAACTAGAATATAACTGGTGATATAAAAAGTGATGCCACTTTACCAAAAAGATAAATACATTTGTTTAAAATACAAATTGTCGTTTGTAATTTGAAAAATTATAAATATCTTTTTGT